GCGCTCATGAACCCGCTGAGAGCAGCCTCACCTCGGCCAGATCTGCTGGAAATCACCACTGGCTCTGATGTCTCTATAGAGGTTAATCATGAGATATAATTAGTTTTGGGTAAATCTAACGGACAGTCTTTGCTCTCATTAATCTATTATTTGTTCCAGAGCAAATAGTTTTGGCTGAGGGCAAAATCTCATCATGTTATATTTTATATCACTTTAATGCTGTATATTAGAGCGCTGCCTTTGTGCTTCTGACTGAATTGCCTAGCAACTTTTATGATGACTGTTGTTGTTGTTTATTAAATATTATTATTCAATAAATAATATTTTATATAAATAATAGTAGTATATAGTACTGTATGTGTTCGTGATGGTGATTTTAGTGACATTATTCCGTCATTAGATGGTGACAAAAGACTGTTTTTCTGAGTATGTCCGCAGTAAAGACTTTTATATTGAAAGAGACTGAAACAGGGTTGTAAACAAGGAAGTTATTTTCACTTGCAACAACAGCTTGTAAGACGCAGTTAACAAATGCACTGAGCAGCGCTGTCATCAGAAATTAGCCTTAACAGATAAAAGATAGTACGACAAAGATATCGCTTTCCTCAGTGGACATTCAGACTCATGTTTTATTGTGAATATGAGATTGAGCTGAAGAATGAATGCTGTATCAGATGCAGGTAATCACACTCTCAGTCCATATCTTTCTTATAATACAGTGATACAATAAGCTTTTAATGAAGCAACTCAACGTTCCCTCGTTACTAAAATTGAGTGTTTACTATTGTCATTTTGCGTTATTGACACAGGACCTTGGTTTCCAAATGAAATACAAAACTTGCTCTCATCTGACATTCTAATTTATTGAGATGCACCTGTATAAATAAATGTGATTTGACTTGACTACTAAAGTTCTAAAGTAATGTTCTGAATTAGTAACAGATCTTGAGCTCAGCTGTTAAACTGTTAAACTGAGATCGGAGTCTGTGGCGGAAGGAAGTAGTTCCGCACAAAAGAGGGGTTTTAAAGACACTCCGTTGTTGTTTCTTATGTATTTACACACTCGTGCCATTAAACTGTTTTATAAACGCAATACCACACCCGTAGCCATGAGATATGGCTCTATATCAGCACATATATGATTACCTACGGCCGAATCACAGCTGTGCCGATATACAGCCATATCTCACACGTCTACTCTTGTGTGATATTGCTCATATATTGCTTGCAGTATGGCCAGGATTTGAAAACATGTTTACGCAGAGAAGTATGTATACGGTGAGACAGGTTTGTCTCCATGAGGCACTGATGTGATGCTGAAAGTCTGTCTGTGTGACATAGATGAGAGTTAGATGTGTGTTAGTAAAGCAGAGAGACTTATATCTACAGATGAAGTGTGTGTGTGTGTGTGTGTGTTAGAAACATCAGATCCACACCCGTCCGTCTGTCTCATTGCACATGCGGAGCGAGTCATTCTGTCAGACTATTGCATTAAAATCTGCCACTGAGGGAAGGCTGACAGATTTTTTTTCAATTACATCTGCTTCAGTGCGTCAAATAAAGGATGCTCTCCGTCACTCCTCACATCCGCTCTGCTCCGTCCCGTCTCTTCTGTCCTCTTTTTGTCTTTGTAAAAGTATTAGCTCTAAAAGTAGAGCTAAAGTCCTTCGCTGCACACCGAATGTGTTCTTCTTCTGATGTGTTGCTTGTTCTTAAACTTGTTGGTCCATATGGTTAATAAGTTTAGAATAATTAAGATTATTTAGTGTATCTTCTGCTCACCAAGACTGCATCAAAAATACAGCAAACATTGCAAAATATTATTACAATTTCAAATAGCTGTTTTCAATGTAAATCTATTGTAAAATGCAATTTATTCCTGTGATCAAAGCTGTATTTTCAGAAAACATCTTTTATATTTTTGTGAAAACAATGATGAATTACAATTCAAAAGTTTGGGGTAATTATATATTTATTTATTTTAAAATAAATAAATTAATACTTTTATTCAGCAAAGACGCATTAAATTGATCAAAAGTGACAGTAAAGACATTTATAATTTTACAAAAGATTTATATTTAAATACATTACAGTTTAACAGATATTCACAGAGAAAACAGCTGTTTTACATTATAATAATATTTCACAAATTTTCTGTATTTTTGATCAAATAAATGCAGCTTTGGTGAGCAGAAGAGACTTCTTTCACATTAAAACGTCCTAATTATTCAAAATTTTCGATTGAATGCATCATTTACATGTTTTTAGGATTTTGTGTCGTTAAACCTCTCTCGGACTCGGTTCTGCTCCGTTTCACTGCTATTGAACAGAAACACGTCTTGTGTGAGCGGCCTCTCATCGGCAGCTGAAAGCCTGATCAAATTAACAAACTATTGCGTAATAAGCGAGGTGTGTGTGCGGTGAAGCTTTGTCACGCTGAGCGCTGAAGTATCGTCTCCTCACACACAGACAGATAGAATGAGGCACTTCTCAGCAGGTATGAATTAGCATTTGAATTAGCAGCATCTGATGAATGCGCTGCGGAGGCTTGCAGGAAACCTAGTGAATGACACATTAATGCATTTCAGTGAAGCTCAAACTGAAGCGCCTGCTGCTGAAACACGCCTTCATTTACACACACATGCCAGCGTTCGGATGCAGGAAACCTGTTGTTTGAGTGCTACTGTAGTTCCCTTTCAGTCAGTCACGTTCGACGTTACGTCAGTCGTGACTGACGAATTGGGTTTCCTGGCTTCATCTGATGGTCACGATCGCTATGTCTCGTGCTTCGGCTTTCAGCACGCTGATGCAGCGCTCGTGGGTGAGTCATGTTCTCATTGCGGGAACATGACCATCGCGATGTTGCGGTCCAGATACCTCCTCATTAAACAGGGGGGTATCCCCCTTGCCATGCTCCGCTCTAGCTCCTCCGGCCGGAGGGCTACTTCGGTTCATGGTCAGGGAGACCTGAGGGTTACGGTGAGAGCTTCCCCGTCGAGTACGTCTCCGCGGGCCTCTCATTCCTCGAGCATATCGCACCACCTGGTGTTCCCGGACGAGTGTGCTGGGTCCTCGGACAGGGCGGGGTCCAGCATCTTGTGCGGAGCTCAGG